TTTTTAGTATTTATTTTTTAGTTTTTGGCGGACACAACATCTTTGTTTTGTATGTGGTGCTGAGGATCGAACCCGGGCCGCATACATGCCAGGCGAGTGCGCTACCACTTGAGCCACATCCCCAGCCCTAATTTTTTAATTTTGAGACAGAATTTCACAGAGTTGTTGGGGCTGGCCTCAAACTTAGAATTGTCCCGCTTTAGCCACCTGAGTTGCTAGGATTACAGGTGTGCACCACTATACCTGGCTTTCCTTGAATTCATGTTAATGTGAGATACTTATATAAAATATAAATGTACACACACTCACAACCCTAACAAAGGATGAAGATATTCCTGTTTTTAGTCCTTGGTTTTGGAATTCTTTTTACTTGTGTAATCCTATTTTCCATCTTAATCTGTAATCTTGAAGGTTGCCTGAAAGTATTTGTTAGCTGGGTTATGGATATTTTTATCTCATTATCCAGGTTAAATGAGGTTCTTCTGGGCTCATTCACATGGTGTTGGGTATCACAGAGTGTGATTCCCAGTGTACAGTCTTTCTCTTGAGTTGGATTTATTCAAAGGAAGTCATGGCAGCCAGATTTGTAGAAATTAGTAGGGAAATACACTCCATTTATTTTTTCTTCTCCTTATTCTCCTCTCTATTCCTTCCTTCCTTCTTTTCTCTTTCTCCTTTTTTTAAATTCCTTTTCTTTTTACTTTCTGTACTGAAGCTTGAACTCATGACCTTGCTTTGGACTTGAAATCTATTTTAGTTGTAGTTGGACCCAATACCTTTATTTTGTTTATTTGTGTTTATGTGGTGCTGAGAATCGAACCCAGGGCCTCTCACATGCTAGGCGAGCACTCTACCGCTGAGCCACAACCCCAGTCCCTATGCTGTACTTTTTTTTTTTTTTGCCTTTATTTATTTATTTTTTTTACATTTGAATTAGATGGGACATAATTCTTATGCTTTACTTCTTGGTGATAGGAGTGACATAGTCAATTTCACAGGTATAAGCATTGGGAAAGATTTGTGGTTATTTGTAATTTATTATACATATGTCCTAGTTTTTCTTCCATCTCTGTTTCATTCGGATATTCGTTCAGACATTTATTGTGTTCCTGTGTCCTAGATGATAAGGAGTATTTTTTTTTTTAAGAGAGAGAATTTTTAATATTTATTTTTTTTTAGTTGGCGGACACAACATCTTTGTTGATATGTGGTGCTGAGGATCGAACCCGGGCCGCACACATGCCAGGCGAGCGCGCTACCGCTTGAGCCACATCCCCAGTCCCGAGAAGGAGTATTTTTAAAAGTTTATTAGAACAGGAGTTTTTTGTCAAGAAATAAATGAAATTTCTGTTCTTTCACTCTACCCTAAAGTAACACTTACTATATAAGAACTGTGAAAATATGAAAACTAGCTAGTTTCTTCCATCCTTCCCCCAATTCAGTGCCCTAAATCTTATTTTTATTTTGTCTAGGTTCTCAGGTAACTAATGTCAGAACGTTAACTATTTTAATAATGGCTGTTACTAAATCTGATCTGATCGGTTAGACCTGTTTGTGTGCAGAACTGCTGAGAAGAAAGTAACATTTATTGAATTTACATTGGGGCCATTCACAGCGTTAGGTCAGTAAAACAGTTTGTGCCATCTTTGAAACATTGCCTGCCTTGTTAGAAAATTTTCATTTTGACCAGTTGTGCCTGCTGTATCCTCCTCAACTACTTAGGAACTGGTCTACAGAATGTTATCATGGTAGCACCAGATGCTATAACTGAGAAAGCTTTTTTCTTCTATTATTGTATTAATTTAAAAAGGTAGATAACAATAATTTTATTCTTATTTTTTCCATATTTTATTGGTGCATTATAATTATATGCATGATATAATAGTGTAATTTGGCCCAATATCATTCCCAAGTATTTTCACTAATAATTTAATTTGTATTTCAGTTGAAGTTTTTTTGGATATTTTTGAAATGACATTGATTAAATGTCATCACTTATTTGTAGTTTGATTTGAAAATATGTGCCAGATGYTGTGGAGAAATGGCTCCCTCTTCTGGCACACTCTTTTATGTCTGATGTTTAGATTGTAACATAAAGAACTTAATGAGCAGGTCTCCTTTTTAAAAAGAAGGGACTCCTTTTACTCCCCTACCCCCATAAAAACCAACCAACCAAACACAGCAGAGTTGAACCACCTTCTACCTTACTTTGATTTTTGAATCGAATAATTATCCAATTTTTGAGTTTTCTTCAAATTGATGCTGATAAATGTTAAAAATGTGTCTATCATTTGTATTTTTTATCGATCATTATCCTGAGGAACTTCTTTTTAATCTTAGAATATTGATAAGTACACTAAAACAACTATAAGACACAGGTTTTGAAGTCAAAATAGTTTGTATAATACTAGACCAAGTAAGTTATATTTATTTGCTATGAGACTTATCAGAGATTTTAATAGTCAGTGTGTATGTTGACCTACTGTGGTAAACCTCTGCAGTGAAAAGGATTTTCCAAACTTATTTTGTTACAGAATTCCCTTTTGGGG